CTTCAGTGATTCTATTTCTACCTCAACAGCTTGAATATTTTCATTATTTCATTCTGTTATTTGTGTTCTCATTAAGGAATTTATCCATATTCTCTTTAAGGCCCTTGATATGTTCATAACTGCTATTTTGAAGTCCTTGTCTTACACTTCAGCTGTATTGCATTTCTAAGGACCTACTGTGGTATATTATTACCTTGAATGCTAATATTTGTGTTTTTGTGCTAGTGTCTTGGCATCTGAATTTAGGATGATTGAGGTGATTCTAGGTGTTACTTCTGGTCTTGTCTTTGTTGGGTGGGTGTTCTACTTCTTTTTTCTGTTGCCCTCTCTGGGTCTTAGGAAAGCAGGATGGCTGTTGGTTGCCTAATAGAGAGTGCTTCTACAGGTCAGTGGGTGGCAGAAAGGAATAGAGGTGATCTACAGAAAAGACTGATGGGCAAAGGGGACCCTGTTCATACAATGATGTGGGGGTTACAAAAAGTTGGAAGTGTGGTGTAAGGAGAATCTCCTTTAAGTAGTTTGCAGTAAGATAAATAATAATGTGGAGAGACAAGGATGAAAGGCTAAAGGGACCTTGAGTCTGTACTAAAAGTTGATATCTCCAGTAAGTGGAGTTAGGGCAGAAAGAAGGGTACCTGTGAGCTGAGTGTTATTTGGCTGAGGGTGAGAATAGAAAAATCTTAATGGAAGGATAGTGTGAATCACCTATTTGCATCCATGCCTTTGGGGTTCTCGGTAGAGAGAGTTTCTAGTTATCAATGGCTGACACAAAGGAATGGGTTTGGACTAGAGGGGATTGTGAGAAGGTCCACAAGAATGGGGAAATATGTGTCTAGAGCAAGGTTCAGTGAAGTCACCAAGGAATGGAAGTGGGGTATGAAGAGAGGCACTTGCAAGTAGTCTGCTGCAGGATTGGGAATAAGACTGGAAAGATTGTAATGGGGTAGGTAATAACGAGAATGTTATTACCTACCTAAGTCCCAGCCTAATATGGCCACTTGGGGTCCCAGGTAGAGAGAGTTTCTAGGTATTGACAGCTGGCACAGAGGAATAGGGTGGACTCTCCTTCAGCTTTCAATGATACTTTCTTTGTTATTTATACTTAGTGTCTTAGCTATGACAATCATGAAGGTTTTCTTTTCTGGTCTTGTCTATTTGGCATTCTCTGTACTGCTTGTATTTATATGAATGTATCTATCCTTACTTTGGGGAAGTTTTCTTCTATGATCTTGTTGAAGATCTGATTTATACCATTGTCTTACATTTTCTCCCTCATGCATGCCTTAATTTGAAGGTTTTATTTTTCAAGGTTGTCAACTTTTATGACTTGTGCGGATCTTTTTTTTTCCAAGACAGGGTTTCTCTGTGGCTTTGGAGCCTGTCCTGGAACTAGCTCTTGTAGACCAGGATGGTCTCCAACTCACAGAGATTCTCTTGCCTCTGCCTCCTGAGTACTGGGTTCAGTGTATTTTTATACAAAATTGAAACAAAGAAATAATCTGGCTACTGTGTACAGGGTAGATTTTAAGCATGTCTCCTTACCATTGATAGACTTTTCTAGAACATAACTGTACATGTTGAGCATACCACATACAATAGTAAATAGCCATTGATTAAAGAATAGATAGTAGGAAAATATGGGTTTCAAAGATAGTTCAGTTGGTAAAATGCTTGTCACATGAGCACAGAACCTGAGTTTAGGTTCCTCACACACATTTTGAAGTCCAGAGGTGGTGGGGTCTATCTATAATCCCAAAATCGAGTTGGTAGATCTCTGGAGATTACTAGCCAAATTGGTGAGCTCCAGGTTCAGTTTGAGATTGCCTCAAACAACAGCTGGAGAGAGTGAGGAAAATACCTGCTGTCAACTGCTGGCTTCCAGAGGCACTAGCACACATATGTGCATGCACATCTTCATGCATACACAGACACCATAGTCACATGGACACGTATGCACACATGCATTCACAAAGAAAGATAGGAAGGCAAGACAGTCAAAGCATGGATAAGGAGATAAAGAAACAGATGAACCTACCTTCACAGGTAGAGAGATGGCTCAGTGATTAAGAGCTGATACTGCTCTTATGGAGGACTTGAATTTAGTTCTCAGTACCTATTTCAGCTGACTCAAAACTATCTGGAACTCCAGTTCCAGAGGATCCAATGCTTTTGATAGGTGTCTTAGTTTGCTTTCTATTGCTGTGATAAAACATCATGACCAAAAGTCATTGGGGGAGGAAGTCAAGGCAGGAACTTAAGCAGGGGAAGAACCAGGAGGCAAGAATTTCAGGGACTTTAGTGGGGGCATTTTCTCAATTGAGGTTCCTCTATCTATTTGACTAACTTTGTCAAGTTGACAAAAAGCTAACCAGGATAGTAGGATAGTCATTTTTACAATATTAATTCCTCTAATCCTTGAGCAAGGGAAGCCTTTCTATCTTCTGATAGCTTCCTCAATTTCTTTTTTAATGTCTTAAAGTTTTCATTGCTGAGGTCTTTCAGTTTTTTGGTTAGGTTTTTCCCCAAGTATTTATCTATTTATTTGTTGTGTATGTGCCTATTATGAGAGAGAATATCCATCTGATTTATTTTTCAGTATGTTTTCATGGGTATATAGGGAATCTCCTGATTTTTGTGTGTTCATTTTGAATTCTCATACTCTGCTAGAAGAATTTATCAGCTCTAAGGGTTTCTTTATCTTTAAGGCTTCTTGTGTATAGAATCATATCATCTGCAAGGATGCATCTTTTTTTTCTTCCTCTTTTCTTACTGTTCTAGCCAAGACTTCAAGCTATTGAGTAGTAATGAAGTTGTTCATTTGTCTTGTTCCTGGTCATCTTTGGAACATTGAGTTTTTATATACTTACCTTGGTATTAGCTATAGGTTCATTATATACAGCATGTACACCCTCCCCCCTCTTGCCTTTCCAGGACTTTATCAGGAAAGGATTACATATTTTTCAATAGCCTTTCTTCATCTAATATGATGATTATGTGATTTCTGTTTTTGAATCTACTAATGTGATGAATCACGTCTATTGATTTATACATGTTGTGCCATCCCTGTGTCACTGGAATGAAACTAACTTTATCATGATGAATAATGTTCTTTTTTTTTTTGGTTTTTACGAGACAGGGTTTCTCTGTATTGTTTCAGAGGCTATCAGCCCAGCCCGGCCTCAAACTCACAGAGATCTGCCTGCCTCTGCCTCCCGAGTGCTGGGATTAAAGGCGTGCGCCACCACCGCCTGGCAAATAATGTTCTTAATGAAATATTGAATTCAGAATTCAGTTTGCCAGTATTTTATTGATAACTTTTGAATCTATGTCTATCTGGAATATTAGTCTAAAATAATTTTCTTCCTTCTCTTCACCTTCATTTGTTGTGTCTTTATCTGGTGCTTTGGTATGAAGGCAATGCTGGATAATAAAAAGAATAACATGGAAATTATTGAATTTTGAAAGGAGCTTTAAATATTTTAAAAAGACCAAAATTTTCAAGATTGATACTTTTAAAGTTATTTAATGGCTTATATTGAAATATTAATATTAATATCCTATCTTGGGGACAAATGAGAAAGAAAAAGTTCTCATTGAATAGTGAGGTATCTTTGTGTCAAGTTGACATAGGATCAATTGTGCTGGGTAGTTTCATGTCAATTTGTCACATGCTAGAGTCATTTTTGGAAAAGGGAACTTCAATCGAGAAAATGCACCCATCAGGTTGGCCTGTGGTCAAGTCTATGGTGCATTTTCTTGATTAATTGATACAAGAGGGCCCAAAACAGATCTTAACTAAATAGAGTAAGAAAGAGAGAAATGAAGGAGTTAATTCAGCAATTTTCTATATTCAGTTGAATCCATATACATATGATCCAGTGTTAAAATGATGTTTTAAAGGGGAGGAAGGTGTCTTCTGAGATGATAATAATGTGTGAATGATGAAAGAGGTGTAAAAAAAGTTAAATTAAGAGACTTGGTGAGACATACTCATTTGAAGTATATGTAGCATGCAATCACATACAAACACTTAAAATACAGCATGATGAGTTTTGCTTGGAGGCCATCATGTGAGAGTACCTGACTGTTATTTTCTGTCACTCCAGGCATGTCTCTTCATGTGCTATCACATCATACATGAGGAGATTTCTGACTATCTAACTTACCCCAGCAGTTAGTATTGTTTTGCAGATTTCTTTAAATGAATCATTTACACAGAGTAACCTTCAGTCTATTTTCCTACACCAGTCACATTCACTGTGATATTCTCCCATGCTATTGCAGATGTTACAAATTTGTTAGTGTTAAATGCAGAAGACCATTCAATGGAAAACTTTAGCTGACACTAATTTAGGGGTGGCTCTTTGTTTTGAGTGCTTGAATAAACTTAGGTGTTATGAACATTCACAGGTAAGGATATGTTTACAGCTTTTTGAGGACTGGAATTGCTCACTTAAATTTGAGGAAAATTACACTTTACAGTAAAACCCACATTTTTCTTTTCATGACATATATACAGTCTTCCATTCCATTGATTACCCCAAGTTGGTTTACTTATTTTACTTTTTATTGAAAAATATTTTCATACAATGTATTTTGATCATGGTTTCCCATTCTCCAATTCTTTCAGATCCTTCACACCTCCCAGCCTACCCAACTCCATGTCTTTTCTCTCTTGAGAAAATAAACCACAATTTAAAAATACAAATGGAGGAAAAACACAAGAAACATATGTGGTCACACACACACACACACACACACACACACCATAAAACTACAAATTCAGAAACTAATATACAAGCAAAAGACCAGGAAAACAAAAAAAATGCCCAAATGAAGCTCCATCTACAGATAATTCTCTCCACAAGATCCCTGATGGAGGACCATCTACTGTTTTAATATTGTTTGTTTTCTGACACAATTAAATACCCAATCCTTTCCTTGTATAGTATTTGGCAAAAAAAAAAATCGTATGTGTTCTAAAACCCAAAAGTTCTTTCCCCACTTATGTTTTCACATTTCGATACAAGATGCTTTACCATACATGTATACTAATTTCTCCAAGTGCCTCTCACATTTTACTCTTTCCTGGGGCTTCTACCACAGACTCTCCAGATCACTGAGCACACAATGCTTGGATGGGTACAGCATTGTTACATAACAGCCTCTTCCTTTACTTATCAGAGCTTGTGAGCTTCTTGCCTCACTGCCCTCATGCCATGGTATGAACTTTGAGGTCTTAGTCTTGTCTGCCTCCCCGTGGACTAATTTGCTATGGTCCATGGCCCCCTTCCTCCGGTCATCTACATGGACCCAGGTCCTCCTGGGAGGTTCTCTCTGGCTATCTGTGCTCTGGGTACTGTTGTACCCTGTGTACTGTTCCCGTGGTCCACCAAAATGGCGCTTTGCTACCTCTGAAGTTGTGATTCCCAGGAAGGTTCCCCAGAGAATGGGTGGAAGCGATACACCGGACCAGATCACCTACAGCATGCGCTTCAGGGGACAGAGACACGTGGTCCACATGAAACTCAAGAAGAACATGATTCCTGAAAACTTTCCTGTGTACACTACTAATGACCAAGGAGCCGAGCAGGAAGAGCACCCATTTGTTCCCCGAGACTGTTACTTCTACAGTTACCTGGAAGGGGTCCCTGGGTCCCTAGCTACACTAGACACCTGCAATGGAGGTCTGAATGGCATGCTGCAGGTAGATGACTTCACTTATGAAATCAAACCATTGGCATCTTCTTCCAAATTCGAGCATGTAATTTCTCTGCTTGTGGTGGAAAGGTCACATAAGTCTAAAAAATGTAGAAATGAAGAGACTGTGCCAGAGGCAGATGAATCCCTTGAAGAGACGAAGCTTGCTGGAAGTCCCAGAGCAGCTCCCGTGTATTTGTGGCGTGTGCATGTGAAAGTACTACGAGTGCACTACACAATGACTTCTTCATTAACTACATCGATCAACAACTTTACTGCCTCACTTGAGATGGTACTGACTATAAACAGCATAGCAGATAGCATTTATAAACTAACCGGGTTGGCTGTCTTTCCAGTTGCTATATGTCTTTGGGATCGCGGAGCAGATAAATTATCAAATGTGCACAGTCCTGATAGAATACCGGAAGTCTTTTTCCAAGTTAAACAACACATGCATAATGAAATCAAGATCTCCGTTTCAGTTGTTTTAACAGGACATAAAATTGGAGGTTTAGATTATGCAGCCCCTAAGAATGGACTGTGCAAATCAAAGTGGGGAGTAGCATATACACATGTTGAAAACCGTCATGCATTTCTGGCTGCAACTATTATGTCTCATGCGCTAGGTCACAGTATAGGTTTAGACCATGATACAGTGGGCTGTGTTTGTTTCAGAAGAAGCCGTTGTGTCATGAATGAATTTCCTGCTCTTCTGGATATGATGAGCAATTGTTCCCAAGCTGTGATACATGATAGGATCCATGGATGGGACGAATGCCTGAGTTTCGAACGTAGTCAGTATAGCAACTTTAAATACATAGTTCCTAGGTGTGGAGATAAGAAGGTGAATGAACACGAGGAGTGTGACTGTGGCACCTTTAAAGAGTGTGCCAATAACAAGTGTTGTAGCACCAATTGTCAATTTTCTCAGGGCAGTACTTGCAATATAGGAGGTTGCTGTAAGGATTGTGTATATGCTCCCATTGGACATGTGTGCAGAGACAAACTTGGTATTTGTGATCTGCCAGAATACTGTGATGGAACCTCACAGAATTGCCCAGAAAATTTTTACATCCAGGATGGAACCCCCTGCTCACCACTAGCAGTTTGCATGTCAGGAAACTGCAGTGATCGTGATTTGCAGTGTCAAGCTCTTTTTGGATACGAAGTAAAGGATGCTTCGCCAGCATGTTATAAACAATTAAATCTCAAAGGTGACCGATTTGGAAACTGTGGGGTGAAGTTACAAAGAGGAGGAAGCCAACCTCTCCCATGTCAAGACGACGGTATTTATTGTGGACTGCTGCATTGTGATGGTGTCACTCGTGTTCCTGGTGGAGGTGAGCACACTACATTTCATCACATAAAGGTACAAGATATTAAAGAAGAACAGTGCTTTGGGTATGATGCACACCATGGGACAGAAATTCCAGAAATGGGGCTTGTAGTGGATGGTGCAACCTGTGGTCCAGGGAAATACTGTAAAGCACAAGCCTGTGTTTTTCATCAACATTTCAATTTTAAATGCAACCTCAGCTTCTGCAATTACAGAGGGGTCTGTAACAACAAAGGCCATTGTCACTGTGTGCAAGGTTGGAGACCACCAGACTGTGAACAGAGAGGAACAGGTGGCAGTGCAGACAGTGGTCCTACAATTTCCACTAAGGATATGTTTCGAGCCAAGATACACGTGAGTGTAAACCGGATACTAATTGTTTTATTCACTCGTATGGTTCTTATCTTGGTTTCACTTATTTTTGGTGCACTTACAAGAGCTGTAATGATTGTAGACCTCAGACAGGAACGTCTTAATGCAAGAAGGAATTGATTTCATTCCATACTAACTGGAGCCACACAAGAACAACATCATGTCGATCACTACAAGAAATTGCTATTGATTTCCCCTGACAACTGTGCAACCTTTCTAAGTCTGAGATTTACATCTTGAAATAAAATCACTGGGGAATTAAAGTTGTGCCTCTATGTTTTAATTTTCTTTTATAATTATTTCTTGAAATCTCTCCCTGTCCCATATTCTCTCCCTCCCTCCCACTCTCCTTTCCCCTTCCCCTTCTCTCTCTCCTTATGTAAATGTGAGTGCAGATGTTTGTGGAGGCCAACATCAGAGTCCCTGGAGCTGGAGTTACAGGTGGTTGTGGGTCCTCCATTATGAATGCTGGGAACTCACCCCCAGGTCTCTGCAAGAGCAACAAACACTCTTGACTTCAGTGTCTTAATATTACATAATTTATCATGCCTGAGGCTTTGTTTTGATTTCAGTTTTTTTCTTGCCCTGCTTTGGGGTGCTAAGCAGCACAGACAAGAACCCAGGTCAGGTTAATGTCCCGCCACTCTACTGTACCCCAATATACGTAAATCCATATTGCAGATTTTTTCATGAAAACAGAAAACATATTTATGATGTCTGTGTTAAAGGTTTTCTAGATGCCTCTGTATCAAATTTGGGTTGCATTAGTATATGCTACTGTTACCTTTGCCATGGTCTGTTTACATTGTATTAGATTATCATCTATTTTATTGTTAATGTAAACTTAGCATCAAGGGGGACATTTGTGAATTATATGGATGTATGAATGAAAGGAACATTCATGTCATAGATAACAGAATTTCAGTAGTGGTGTTGAACTTTGCTATGTGACAAAGGGAAAACTTTATTTTTGTTTTTTCAAATATACAGTGATTATACTCAGCATGCCAAGATGAGTTATACTTTTCCAAAAACATCAAAATTGATTCTAGAGTGTTTTAGGTGCTAAATACACACACTAGCTTCTACCATTATCTTTGGTTCTACAATGTCAAGAGCTGTAGTTGCAGGGTTAGTGTTTAACAAGGACAGGCATTGTCATTCATTGTATGTGTGGGTTAGAAACCACCAACATGTGATCTGAGGGAAGGGGGTAGTGAAGATGGAGGCTTCCCCCTTATAGACAAAAAGTCTGTGAGCCAGGCTATCCATGCATGTTACTCTAGCACTTATTCTGACACTTACTCCCTTTGTTCTTTTTGTGGTTTCAGTGCTTGACTGGTGACCTTTCTAAAGGAAAGGGGGCTTTGCCAGGGAGGAGAAAGCATCTAAAGGAGAACTTTAAAGTGGTAATTCTTTTTACATGAAGGAAATCACTGTCAACTACACAGAGGAGTCATACTTGATCCCTCTGACATTTCATAGTCTCCAAAAAGCCTGGGGTTTACACCTTGAAGTAAATTCATGGCAGAATTTTAAAATGGGCTTCTATGTTTAAACTCTTCTAAGCATGGTTTCTGAAGGTTATTCTGTTTTCTTTGTTCTGGTTGCTTGTCTTCTATTGTACTGTCATGGGCTGTACTCCAATGCCTGGCTGTGCTCTCCATGTGCCTATGTATGAGACAGAGCTTCCAAAGTCACAAGAGGAACTGAAAACTTTCTAAGAGGTCAGCCCTTCTGGTTTCCAGACATTCCTGCCCTAGATTTCAAAAGTATTAGCATGCACCAATATTAACATTGTCATGGTGTTTAAATTAACTGTATTAGAATTTCATACTTGTCCATTTCACTGTCCATATAGAACTGCCACAAATTAAAAAAGGACATATGCTGCTGGTGACGTAGGTAGAAACATAAGTGCTTTTGTGTTTAGGCATCTGGAATTTCAATAGTAGTTCTGAACACTGCTATGTAACTGTCTATAGTCATATTTTCAGGCCTTTAAGGACTATATTAAATATTCCTAGATGAAATATACTTTGGCTACATGTTCCAAAATTGAAAGTGCCTGGAATTGTGAGCCAAGTCAACCCATAGGTTGCTTTCTCCAGGATATTTTATCATAGCAATAGGAAAAAGAAACTAGGACATCATTATAGTTTGTCTATTTTCTGTAGAGCTCTGTGGGAGCAGCATATCTTGCCCAAGTGGCTTATGTGTAAGAGTCATCTGTGTCTTCATTGAAGATGGGTTTCAGTCTCTATTTCCTAAACCCACAAAACTTTAGTAAATGGGTTTGTGCCTGACATTACTAGTTATTAAAAGCAAATCTGGATGACCATTTACCTAAAAAGACCTTCTGCTTGATTCAATATTAACTATTGAAACCACAGTGCAGCTACCTCAGAAAGTGATTATTTTGTCAGTGTTGGAGCAGCCTGTTAGCCAAATGTCATAACCATGGTCTCTGAAATCATCCATACATCTCAGTTTTCCTCTTTTACAACAGGTACTTACACTGTTACTCATCTGTCTTGTATTTGTGAAGGACTTTTGGTTCCCTGAAGCTATTTGTTTTCCTAAAGTACTGGTAGAACTGTAAGTTTAAGTGTGTATGTGTTTCTGGTCTATTCAATATTATTATCTTAGAAATAGTAATATAACTGTTACTTCTTGCAGGATGTAATGTATTGAATGATATTTGAGCCCACCATCTATAACTTTTACTCATCTGCACAGTTCTACTGCCTCTGGAATATTAACCAAACCAGAATTTTGGTGCATTCAGGGAACTATCCACTTGGTACGTAATTTACAATTAAAATTTTTTTCCATCTGGTAGACGTGAGAATTAGACTCAGAACATTATATACAGTAGTGTCCTGACACTGAACCATATCCTTAGCCCACCTTACCATTTCTATCAGTACAAACCCACAACACACTCCAGGATCAGAGGGAATACTAGCTCTTCAAGGCAGAGGAGACAGAAGGATGATATCAAATACCCTCTAAGTAAATGACAAGTGTAAAATTAGCATCATACCCAGGAATTTGCTGGCTGCGCTTTGACATCCCAAGATAGAACAAAACAAGCAGCTACACTCTATTATAGAGTTTCATAAAATTGTTTAGCATGGATTTTCACAGTCTATATTACATTGAAGTTCAAGGAACCATTCACTACCACAGTGTTCTGGGTGTGAAAATAGCACAACTCCTGAAGTCCTGAAAGGGCCCCTCACCATGTGTGAATTAGAGGAAGGCAGCATACATATTGCAGAGATAAGATAGTAGATGACAACTACAATTGATTTGTGACACACAAACAGCTCTGAAAAATATATTCTGGGGACACCAGAGAGATGGCAGAGTGGTTAGAGTGTTGGCTATTTTTCCAGAGGACCTAGGTTTAATTATCAGCACCCACATTGTGGCTCACAACTATCTGTAACTCCAGATCCAGGGGACATGATGCTATCTTCCAGCCTCTGTTGGGTGTTGTATACATGTGGTGCACATTCATACCTGCAGGCCAAACACACACACACAGATATTCTCTTTCTCTCTCTCTCTCTCTCTCTCTCTCTCTCTCTCTCTCTCTCTCTCTCTCTCTCTCTCACACACACACACAAAATTGTGTATTTTCTTGATTAATAATTGCTATGAGAGGGAACAGTCAATAGGGTGGGGTGTGGCAGTTCTGGGTTATATGAGCAGGCTAAGCAAGCCTGAAGAGAGAACTAGTAAGCCTGGCCTCTGCTTCAGTTCTTTCCCAGACTGCCCTCAATGATGGCCTGTGACCTGAAAGCTGTCAAGTAAAATAAAGTCTTTCCTCTCCAAGTTGCTTTGGGTCATGGTGTTTTATCACAATAGAAACTCCAACTAAAGCAGAAATTGCTGCCAGCTCATGGAGTATTGCTTTGACAGACCTTACTGTGTGGGTTTTTTTGGGGTGTGTGTGTAATACAGTGGCATTAAAACTTTGGGCTGGTGAAGTTATTTCATTCTAAGAGCTCAGTGAGCTGTCTGTGGGAGCTTTGAAGATAAGCATGCTGAGGTCTGGTCTGTGAAATGTCAGATGAAAACTTGAGAGTGCCTCAGAAACTATCAGAACTGTTCATGTGATATCTTGAATTAATCTGTGATTCTATTGGAAACCCAAACTTTATGTACTGAAGAGTTGTAACAAAAAGTTGTTTTAAATGGCACCAATGGACTTCTGTGTTTCCTCAGTACAAGCTCTAACTTAGCTGTACCGTTTGCTAAGAGGTGCTATTGTTGAAATTCAGGTTTGGGGCTCAAACTGCTTATAGTAACTGCTTGATGCTAGTAAATTTGAATCCTGTATCCCTGTGATCTGAGAGTAACTAGCTGTAAACTAAAGAAAATGGGTATGCCTCAATTTAAGCGTAGCCTTGTCTATAATGCCACATCATAGAACATTTGCTGTAAAAGATTTTATGTTGAATACAAATACACTGACACAATAATTAGTAGATTTAAATGAATGGTCCCTTTAACACTTACACAATGGTGGGGTCCTATGAAAATAGTTAAAATTGTCTTATATAAGTTCAGATGGGACCTTTAGGGATGAAAACCCATTATACAAATCTTAATCAATGAAAGGGTGATTATCACCACTACTGCTCCATTTGACAGCCCATTTTGACTGCTACTGTTTCTGGGAAAAATAAACATTGTATCACCATAGATTAGTACAATTCTCACTCTGTATCCATTCATTGATATTCCTATGCTGAGTGCTATTAAAAGTATTGATTCTAAGCCAGGCCTTGTGATGCAAACCTGTAATCTTGGCTAATTAGGAGGCTGAGATGGGAGAACCTCACAGAATCACAAGTTTGAAGCCAGATTGAGCAAATTAGTGACATCCTGTCTCAAAATTAATAAAAAAATAGAGATAGTTTGGTGGCAGAGCATTTGCTAGGTGTACACAAGGCCTGTGTTAAATCCTTAGTACTGGGGAAGAGGAAAATTCTGTCAACCAACTTGTCCACACTTTCTTCTTATAGATTTGGCTAAAACACTCTATGAAAAGTCTGTAAAGTGAAGCTTTTTCTTTGAGAGGAGCCTTCCCGCCAGCCTGGTTCCAGAGCCGCATCAGTCCCAAATAAACACACAGGAGGCTATATTCATTATGAAGCTGTTGGCCTTGCTTGTTTCTTACTGGCTAGCTCTGACTTAAGTAATTACTCCATAATTGTTAACCTAAGTATGTTTCTTACTGGAGAATAGT